CGGCCTCATGGTCCAAGATGGCGGCTAAAGCCCTAACCAGAGTAACCACATTCCAGCCAGCAGGAAGAAAAAGGAACCCAGTAAAGACACCTTCCATGTACAGCTTTCTAAAACCATTTTCTATCATGACCCTGATAAGCAAGACCCACACTGGTCAAGATATTGGCGCCCCTGTAAAACTTTGGGGGAAAACTAGCCACTATGATCTGGTACCATTTTATTCATGAGGTCACCTGCAAATATGAAAGAGGCTGCACAATGCAGTCTTTACTCCTAACAGTCAAGTATACAGCTAAAAATCAGGAGTTATTTTTAGGACGACCATGTGTCCTAGTTAGCCAGAAAGTCTATTTTGTGTGTGTTGTCCCGGCATAATTATTAATAGCTCCCCCTTTCTCTCTCTCAAGTGTCCTAGTTTGGATGATAAATTATATGGTCACCCTTGTTATATTACCAAGAAAAAAGGGAAAAACAGATGATGGGGTATACAATTCAGTATCCGCTAGAGGTTCTTGAGGAATCACTTGAGAAATTCTTGGCAGGTAGGTGTTTCCTTGGCCCACCTCACAACTGCTCTGAAACTGTGCTTGTGGAGATTACTTGTGACCTCATTGATAAATTAAAGGACTTTTGTCACTCTAATCTAGTCACTGTTTGTGATTCCATGTACTGAGCACTGTGCTTTGGGGGACATGGGGATAAAATAGAATTCAAGACTATTAGTCCTCACACTATAAAACCCATCTCCTATTACAGTGGAGTAATATAAGTCTGAATTGTCTGGATTCTGGGGCTACTATTTCTCCTGCTGGATATTTGTCTAAGTTTCTTTCTTTTTCTGGTTCCAGAATATTCTAGCCCATTGCTTCCCAAAATGTCTCCAATATGTCACTAGCGCTTCAAGAAAGTGCCCTAGTCAAATAATATTTGCAAGTGCAGTGTGCTTAGAGCCTCACAATGCACATTAGCATATTAAAAGCTCTGAGAAGTAGAACTAGAAATAGAAATTCCTTTTTAACTCTTCTATTCTGAACTGGTTCTAGGGTTAACACCTGCTAAGAGCATATAACATCTCTTTGGCACTGCTCTGTTTGTCCCAGAAATAGGAAGATGTTATAAGATTCTCTAACCGTAGTTCCTCCCTCTACATTCAGCCTCCTGATGTATTTATTTTCCAAGGAGGTGACAACGTTTACCTCATTCCCCACACAGATTAAATGTGCATCTCTACTTGAGTAGAACATCATTATCTCAAACTTCATTGTCTTGAACTTAATGACCTAAAATTCCAATTTGCTTTTGGTCCAAAATCACCCTCATGCCTATCAGTTTTTGGAGTGATACTGCCTGTACTAGATACTTTATTTCTTTTGTTGGTTATTTCTTTGTTTTGGTTAGGTTTGGCTTTGGCAAGGGTTGGGATAGGAGTCTTGCGGCAGGCTGAATGGCCTTGCAGCTTCATTCCTACTTTTGGAAAAAGCTCCTTTTTTGCAGTGTCAGTGAGACATTGTGCATTGCCAATGGGTCCTGGCAGTCTAGGCTTGAGCATGTGGTCTGGGCTCTGCCAGTCAGCCTCCCACTGGGGACTTGGAATCTTGAGTTATCAGAACAGAGAAATATGGGAAAAAAAAAAAAGAAGAAGAACAGAGAAATATGAATGGTTACAATTCACTCACAGCGTGGCAGTGGTGATGTTAGCAGTGTTCCTTGACAACAGTGGCCCTGTCTTAGTCACCGCAGATGACTCTGATACATTCTAAAGTTTGACAACCACCGCATCAGGTCTTTCTTATATATCAGCTGTTCCAGGGAGATTTAATTATTATCCTACCCAAGATTAACTTTTCCTTTTCTAGAGTCTCATAACCCTTAATATCTATATCAGTTGCTGAACTTACGCTATGTTGCCTTGCTGATATTTAAGTAGGTACCTTATTTCTAAACCTAGTTTCTAAGCTTCTAGAAGGCAGGATATAAGTCACTACAACTTACCTAAAGTAATAACTTACTTAGGAATGAATGAATATTTACCAATAACAAATTAATTGCACCTAATATGTAAACTTTTCTATTCTCTAGAAAATAAACTTTAAATTAGTTCGCCTCTATTCAAGAGCTTCTAAAGCAATGGTTCTCAAATTTGCAATATTTTGTTTTATTTTTAAGGATTTTATTTATTTATTTATTTATTTATTTATTTATTTATTTATTTGAGAGAGAGAGAATGAGGTGGGGGGAGGGAGAGAGACAAGCAGATTCTCCGCTGAGTGTTGAGCCCCACACTCCACACTCCTCCGCTCAGTCTCGGGACCCTGAGATCATGACCTGAGGTGAAACCAAGTCAGATGCTTAACCCACTGAGCCACCCATGCGCCCCTCAAATCTGCAATATTTTAAAATCACCTGGAAAGTTATAACAAATACATATACTCAAGTCACAACTTCAGAGAACCTTATTTAATTGAGTTGGGGTGTAGCAATTTGGTCATTGTGGTTCTCAAAAGTTCCTAAATGATTCTGTTACAAGCAAGGTTGTGTTTATCATTCTGATATTCAAAGTGTGGTTCAAAAACCAGGAGCAACAGTTCACCTGGGAGCTTCAGACTCTGTATTTTAACAAGATTCCCAAATGATTCATATATGCATTAAAGTATGAGAGGCACTTGGTCTAGAGCAGTAATGGCCAATAGAAACATAAGCCTGAGATATTGTGATTTATAAGAACTATATATCTGGTCATTCAAATGACCAAAATACATTTCTCTTATCTGTATTTGGTCTTTGTCCACAGTTCCTGACTGACAGCTCCCACAACCTCGGCATTTCCTGAGCAATAAGAGCAATAGGAGCATCTTTTGTTATAATATTTGATCTCTTGTCCTCAGTTCCTGAAATCCCTTCAGATCCATAAAGGTGAAATTGGTGTCTTGTTATTCATAATAAGCTCCTTTCCAGCACAACTGGATTTATGTTAATGACATGATTTTGGAAAACACCTACAAATGGAGATAGGTTGCAGGAGAACTTTCAGTCCCACTGGATGATTTCCAGGGAGGGAAGAGGGGCTGGAGGTTGAATCAGTTACCATTGGCCAAAGATTTAATCAATCACACCTATGTAATAAATGCCTGTGTAATTAAGCCATCATAAAAACCCAAAGGGAGGAGATTCAGAGAGTTTTCAGGTTGGAGAACCAGAATGTGCCCCCCTGCCAGGCCCCAAACTCTACAGGGACAGAAGCTCCTTTGTTCAGGACTACTATTGATTTGTATCTTTCAATATCCTTTGCAACCAGTAATCTAGTGAGTTAATGGGTTTCCTGAGCTCTGTGAGACACCCTAACAAATTAATCAAACCCAAGAAAGGGTTAGTGGGAACTCCTGATTTACAGCCAGTCAAGCACAGGTAACAATGTAGGCTTGGGATCAACACCTGAAGGGGATGGGGAGCAAGCCAGTCTTGTGGGACTGAGCCCTAACCTGTGGAATCTGAGGCTACCTTTGAGTAGATAGTGTCATAATTGCGTTGAATTGTAGGACCCCCAGCTGGTGTCTGAGAATTGTTTGTTGGTGTGGGGAACCCCCCCGACACACACAACATACACACGTTAGAACTGGGTGGAGAATCCTTTTAAAGTCACATATGTACTTTCAAATCTTCTAGTAGCCACATTAGAAAAGCTTTTAAAATGAAAAAAATAATTTTAGGAATATATTTTATATAACCCAATGTATCCAAAATATTATCATGTCAATAATTAATGTAAAATTTTCAGTAAACTATTTTACAGGGCTTTTTTTTCCCCACTAAATTTTTGAAATCCAATGTGTATTTTATACTTTTAGCATGTCTCCAATCAGTCCAGCTGCATTTCAAGTGCTTCCGAGCCACATGTGGCTAATGGCTACCATGTTGAACAGTGCAGATCTAGAGCTCATTCACTTTTCCATCTCACACCAAGGACAGCTTGCCTTACAAAAGCTTTGCACTGCAGTCAAAGGACCTTTCCATCAGCCCATCAATCCATTCACTTTCCTGTCTTTGCAGTGCTGTCCCCATTCCTCCTCACAGCCTGGAAAGCCCTTTCTCTTCTCCCTCCTGGTCTAGGTTCCATTTCTTTTCTTTTTTTCTTTAAACCCAGTCCAGATCTATAGTTCCTGGGCAAAACCTTCCTAATATGGTCCCAGATAAATTGGTTAGTTTCTGCTCTAGGTTTTATAGGGTAAGAGTTTACATTCTTACCTATTAATGAAGACGGCAAAAGATGATTTTAGAAAACTAAACATGGGATGCAATTAGAATTGGAAAACAATTGATAAAAACAAAACACAGACCTCAGAAGGTTGATATTGGAAAGCAATTTCCCAGTAGGGAGGAACAACCTTCCTAGGAATGCTTAATCAAGCCACAAATTCTTCTCCTGGAGATCTTTCACAGTTACTCTCGCCTACCATTCCCCAACCCATACTACTAGAATTAAATGACTCATGATCTACCTGAAGCATTGACTCAAATGAAAGCAACAACTTCTCTAAATTGCTCCAAAACTGGACTGAGACAAAGATGGAATATTCAATAAAGACTATCTTAATAATCTCAATTAATAAAGCAAAATTATCAGAGTATAATAGATTTTGACAATATGACTTGTAAAATTTAGCCTGTTTTCTATAAGAGCAAGAATACCTCATTCCTGTGGGACAAAGATAGGGAATCAGGAGAGATCTTGCTAAATTCTTTCCTTCCTTGCTCCTTTTCTTTCTCCACATAGTAACATGATCTTTGGCCTACAACCCTAGCACTTCCTAAATATCTTGATTTCTCTTGGTCTAGACCTGTACTGTCCAATACGATAGCTAATCCCCATACTGGCTATTGAATACTTGAAATGTGGTCAACCAAATTGAGATGGGCTGTAAGGGTAAGTACATACCAGATTTCAAGATTGAGTACATGTCTGAGTTCTCCATGGCTGCTATAAAAAATCACCATAAACCAAGTCACATCAAACACCCATTTATTCTCTCACATTTCTGTGGTACAGCTGTGGTGTAGCATGGCTCAGCTAAACCCAAAGTATCAGTAGGGCTGTATTCTTCTCTGGAGATGAATCTGCTTCCACGATCATTCAGGTTATTGGCCAAATTCAGTTCCTTATGGTTGGTTGTAAGGGCAGGTCTCATTTTCTTCCTGCCTGTCAGAGAGGAGCCTCTTTCAGCTCCTGAAGACCCCCTGCATTCCTTGTCATATCAGTCCCTCCATCTTTAAACCAGCCACAGCATGTTGAATCCTTCTCGTGCTTTAAATTTCTCTGACTTCTTTTTCACATCTTTTCTTGCTTTTAAGAACTCTTGTGATTAAAAAAAAAAAAAAGAAAAAAGAATTCTTGTGATTAGATTGGGTCCACCCCAACAATCCTGGATAATCTCCCTATTTTAAAGTCTGTAAAGTTAATTACCTCTGCAAGTCCCTTTTGCTATGTTAATGTCACATATTCACAGGTTCCAGAGATCAGGGCATGGGAGCCATTCTACCTATCATAATTCAAAAACAAGGGGGGAAATATTTCATTAATACCTTTTCTATTTCTCATATGTTGAAATTGCAGTATTTTAGATATTGAAGCTTAAATAAAATACGTTATTGAAATTAATTTCACCTGTTTCTTTTTATTTTCTTTAACTATAGTCTATTTGAAATTGCATGTATGGTTCGCATGCTGCCTCGCATCACAGTTCTATTGACCAGCGCTAATCTAAACCTAGAGAGAGGTTAAGTCCTCTTTACCATCTTCATAGCCTGTGACACCTGAATAGTGGGACTACCTCTTCTATAAGAAATGCTTCCCAGGGCGCCTGGGTGGCTCAGTCAGTTGAGTGGCTGCCTTCGGCTCAAGTCATGATCCTGGAGTCCTGGGGTTGAGCCCTGCATCAGGCTCCCTGCTCAGTGGGGAGTCTGCTTCTCCCTCTGCTCCTCACCCCACTTTCGTCCTCTCTCTCACTCTCTCTCTCAAATAAATAAAAAATCTTAAAAAAAAAGAAATGCTTCCCTTACAATCATGTATGACCTTACGCTTTCAGGACTCTAACCACTTAAACATAGCACAATACAAAAATCACAACTTTCAAACAAGAGATACTCAAGTACAGTGATAGAGTATGGAGATGTGGGTGCAGGGGCTCATTTCCATATAAGGGAAGGACCCCAGGCCACAACTGGACCTATAACCCTAGTGATTACTGAGCTTGCCCATGAGGACAAGCCTTTATTCATCTTTTCATTTCTCTGTGGGTACATAGGGAGGTTCTTTGAATGAGTATTTGCTAATCCAACTGAATCTAGATGTCAGCAATTGGCTACTTGAAAAAAAAAAAAAAAAAGATGGGTTTTGGAAAATAGGTCAGCTATCCCCTTTTCTAATAATGACAAATGCTTCCATGCTTTAACTGAGAGGATCAGCCTCCATTTAAACTATAAGCTGAACAATATTTAACGTTGCCTCTTTATGAGACAAGGGAGTGTGGTGATGCTCAGAAAAAAGTTCTTTACTAAATGGTCACTCTAATTAGCTAAATATTTTCATTATTGTGTGCTTTATTTGGCTTTGGTGACTAAACCAAACCAGAATCTATGACTGTTTTCAAAACTGCATTTTGAAAAGGTTTTTTGGATGTGCCACTTTGATGTTTAGTTTTAATTTAACACAGGGCCAAAATGTAACTAGTGAATATGTGAGACCCCAACCACCCACCTCCGTACTTCGACCAGCAAGCAGGAAGGCCAGGATATCTGTGGGAACTGAAGAGCAGCACAGAAAAAAAAGTGCAAATACCCCAATCTAATCCTCCAACCATGGACAAGGTAGAAACCCTTTCCAGAGCTTTACTTCTCAATTTCTGGATCTATAGCTGCTCTCAGCCCCAGGTGTGATCTTGCACAAGCTAGGCAAAATCACTTGACAATCTTGCCGTCCGTGCATCCATCCGTCCATGAGCTACTGAGCCAAGGATCCTCTGAGGGAAAGTTAGGCTTGCTGAGAAGCACAGGCTGCTGAGTGTTCCTCTCCTGCCAGACATAAACCTGAAGCAAGACAGAATTATGAGAAACCAGATTCATCTCACCCCATTGTCCTTCTCAGTAATCTTCCTGGCACGAAAGAAAAAGAATGAATACCAATATAAAGACAACATAAACATTTTAAATGAAGTTTACTAATTGAAAGGACAGATAGATGGAGTGAGGCATTCTTCAAAATCTATTGTCATGCCTTTGTGGACTTTATTGCTTATCAGCATTTTTCCCCTTAAGAAAAACAGAACAGCAACATTTGTTCAGAGAAAAAGCCAATTGTGTTGCTTCCTTTCTTACTGCTTTTATTGTTTGAGGTTTCTTTTAGACTATAATGTGGCATTGTGATTTTGAGATGGGGAAAAAAAACAATCCCTTGTCTTTCAAACATAAGAATGTGATTGTATGCTATTGTTGCCAACAATGAGCTAAAGAGGTTAATGGATCACATATCTGGCAAACAGCCATTTTTCCTCCTGCTCAGTATATTAAACAATATACATTCTGTTTTTGCTGCTGAGCTTATGATTTTGTCTGAGTAGTTGGTAAATAAGTTTACTTACATTTAAGTTATCTCTTTCTAGAACTTAGCAGCTTTGTCCTTCAGGCTGTATCCTGAAATTTAAATAAAGTGCACTTTGAGATCTGAGCTCAGGAGCTTTAAAAGTGATGGTAAGAGTAAGCCTGGGAAAGGGGGTGAGCCGGCTGTTCAGTGAGAATCTAGAAATATTGTGCCTTGTGAATTGCATCCAGCCTTTCATTTTCAGATTGCTGAATTAAGAGTGAAATTACCATAATAAAAAGAAATGGATATGGAGAAAGCACCGCTGTTCTTTCTAGTGTTGTTGCCAGTGATCATTCTAACAGATCTCTAATTGCAAGGATAATCCTCTCTACCCCAGGCTGACTCAACTTTTGCATTCTGTGACTGTCATTTGAAAACAGACAAGCCATCAGAAGCAATAACGTGTGATTCTCAACTAAGACTTTTTTGTGTGTTTCATTTGTACTATGGAATTAACAAGAGACCTAATGCCTCAACAGCCAAAAGAAAGGGGGGGGGGTTATTTATTTATTTATTTATTGAAGGAAACTCCAGAGAGAAGATACTTTATCAATAAGAAAGGTATTAGCTTTCCGGGGAATTTTGGTTGGGTGGCCATAGGTATTAAGGGAGGGGACTAGGGTTGAGAGAGAAGCAGCAACACCCCAGTTTCAGATCAGGTGGGATCCTTTCGATCTGGTAAATAGCACCTAGAGCTCCCTGGTCTCTGTGTTGCAGGGTGCCAGGGTAGGAGGGTCGCAGACTGAATTGGGAAGGCGAGTGTGCCTCTTGGGTTTGGGATCTGGACTCGAAAAAAGGCTGAGCGGTGATCTCAGCTTCCCAGCTAGGCGGTGATCGCCCCCTGTGACTCCGGATGCACACAGCAGTCTGAGATCGGCCGCTGCCGCCGCCGGACCCATCACAGCCTCCAGCTCTCTTGCCTGGCAACCTGGAGCCACACGCGAGCTCCCCGGACACGTGTGTGCCCCAAGCTCCGCGTCTAGGCCCCTCACCCCAGAGAGACCGGTCTCAGCTCCTCAGACACTGGGTCCTTCCGACTTCTAAGTTGCCAGGTTCTGTCGCCCTGGTCACTACCGCGGGTTCCCCAAGCTTCGACCTCAGTCGGCGGGGCTGCCCTGCGCATCCCCCTGTCCACCGCCCTACCGGCCCGCGGCTCCCGCGCCTGGGTGGGACGGGCGGCGGCTCAGCCACCGGACCTCCGCCGCGGTGTAAATCCTCTCCTCCCTCCCCCTTCTCCGCCTAAGCCCTGCCCTCCCCTTGCAGCAAGCCGCTCCGGTGTGTGCGCCGCTTTCTCGGCTGAAGACACCTGCGCTTCCTTCCCCACCCTTCTCCGCCCCTTTCGCTGCGGTTTCTCGCCGCCTTTGGGAGCTCGGGAGCGCCTGCTGGAGGAGGAGCAGGGGGAGGAGGCGGAGGGCGAGGAGTAGGGGCGGGGTGGGTGGGGAGAGAGCTGGGAGGGTGTGGACCGGCAGCCACTCTGCAGCTGGTCGCCGGGGACCGGGTCCCTCCCGCGTGCCCGAGTGATGGAGGGGAAGAGATTCGCTTAGACACACACACGCGCACACAGCTGGGCACGTCTCCGGGAGGCAGCTGCCGGCTCGGGCGCGCCGGGGGCCGGGCGGCGGCCGTGACAGCGCCAGCCGCGGGGAGCGGGGCGCCCGCACCGCTTGGCACCGGCGGCTCCGAGACCCAGGAAGGGAAGATCCCAGCTGCACTGACTTGCTCTTTTGGGCAGATCGGGAGGGAGCAGGCTGCCCAAGGAGCTGTCACAGAGGACACCGGAGGCTCTCCCCTTGGTGCTCAGAGTCCGGGGCCGCGCTGGTGCCCGCGTGGGGCGAGGAGGATGCGCACCTCCTCCCGCAGAGCGGCTGCGGGCCCGGGCACTGCGTGGACTCGGGTTCCGGCGGCTGCCCGTGCCGTGCCTGCGCCGCGGGAGCGCGCCCTGCCGCACCTGGTTCCAGCTTCCCGGGGAAGTGCAGGCAACGCGCCCTAAACTCCACTACTTCGCACCCGCTTCCTCCTCCTCCCGGCTCCCGGCTTGGGACCTCGCCGCCGCCGCCGCCTGCGTGTGGAACCCGCCCGCCTCTTACTCTCACGCGCGCACGCACAGCGCGGTCGCTCGCTCCCCTTCACGCAGACTCGCTCACCTCGGAGCCGGAGCCCGGGCTTCCGAAACTACTAGACCAACTGCCGCCGGGACTGCGGGAGCCGACCCGTGGCCCGGCGCGACCAGGCGCCCGCGCCCTGGGCTCCCGCCCCCGCCGCCGCTCCCGGGGAGAAGGTGAGCTGGGCGCGCTGCCCGCTTCGCGCGGGGGAGGGACTCGGGCTCAGCGGGCTGGAAGCTCGTAGATTTGGGGAGGAAGTGACAAGGGAGGGGAATCGCCCAAGTGAGACCTTCTTGTGGTGCCAGCCGAAAGCACTTAGTGGGGCGCGGTTCTCCTAGGCAGTGCCTGGGGTAGACTTTTGAGACGTTCCCTGGGGCTCGGGGTTAAACTAGTGCGGGAGGGGAAACGGCGGGGTGAATCCCCGGGTAAATTTTGAGAGTCGTCGGTGTCAGTGGGTCGGTCTCTCAGCGGGCGCTGGGCGCTGCGCTCTGGGCTCTCTTTGACGGAGGGAGGCAGGAAACACGCGTTAACTGCGCTCCGCAGAGTTTGGGGGCTCGCGCCCAACCACTTCCCGGGGTGGCTGTGGGGCTGTCGCTTGGAGCGCGAGGCGGCTTTGGGGGCCTGGGGGGCTGCGAGGCCGGAGCGGAGGGCGGGCAGGGGCTCAGTTAACTTGCGGGTCGGGTGCGTTGTTTGCCCCAGCCTACTCCCATCCCTCGCAGCCCCAGTCCCCGCAACCCTTCCCACTCCCGCCGCCTAAAACACACATACACACACACGAGATGGATGCAGTCGAGGGGACGGTCATATTATATTAAGAGGTGCGCGAGGTCGCTGCGGCTTCTGACTGGAGCGCAGACTCTTGCTCCTTGGACTTAGGCGTTCGTTCGCCTTGGTTTAGGGAAGCGGGGAAGGAGCGCCCAGACTCTCGTGGACGCCTCTACCTGGCGGTTCCAGGTACACAGCGAGCAAGCCTCCGCCTCAGCTCCGGAGTCACTTCACCCTGGTGGGCTCCGTTCTCCGGCTTCCCCCCTTGAGTGCTTCAGGGCGCGCACCCAAGAGAGCTGCTGCTCTGATCCGTGGTTACCCCAATGCTCACCCGGTGGGTCGGTCTCTCTCTCTCTACCCCCCTCCTTCCCTCCCTTCCTCCATCCCTCCCTCTCTGCCTCTCCATCTCTGCTACTTTCCCTCCCTCCTCCTAATACCACCTTCTTCTTGGAAAACATTGATCCCTTAAGGGGAGGTTTAATATTTGCAAAGTGCTTTATATCATATTACTTCGTGGATACATTTAATTCCACTGTAACTCTTCTCTGATTTATGTAAACTTAGTCTGATAAATAGCGTACAGGGTCAGGTTGAGGTGTGAGGGAGAGCGGGTGGTCGTTCTTTCTGTAAAGATGCTCAGATGCTCCTTTCTAAACAGATTTGCTAGAAGTGCTACAAGGGCAGTGCTTCTGAAAGCTTTGCTCAGTAGTTTTGACATATTTCAGGGCTTTAGACAAGTGTTTCCATTACAGTTTATTTCAAATTTATTCAGTTTCTATTCCAAGAAAAAGTTGAAGTGAAGATAAGAAAAGAGATTACAAATTTGGATATCAAAACTATTTTTAAAAATGTTTTTATTGATGTCAGTTATGTTGTAGCAGATTTTTTTAAAGTTACCTTAGTGGTTTCTCCTAATGAAGCTCTGAAAAGGAGAAATGAAAACAATACTACTTACTCTCCTCCCTTTGTTTACAAATGTTCCTTGCTTAAAGTGACTGAATGAGCGGCAGGGTGGGATTCTTCACTTGAGTGTGAAGTCAATCACCAGTGAACTGATGGAGATGCAGGAAGATACTGCACACAATAAACATAATGATGGAAGGAAACTGTTGTTTAAATTTAACTGCCTCTAGTGCAAAGAGTCTGAACAGTGAAATTGAAAACTGCTCTCACCCCTTCCAAATTACTCTGAACTATTTTAAAGTATTCTTTTTTCAATTAATAAAATGCATAGAAACATCATTAATGATGTAAATATTTTCAAATAGATGCCTAAATCAGGTTATGTGGGAAATTATGAGCATAGTATTTAGTGGAGTTTCACAGAAGTACTGGGACCATGTTTTCTAGGCTACGCCAGACCTCATCCTTAGATTTTAACATTGGAAGTTGCCTTTTTGACATCTTTGTGAGGAGGTGCTCCTTACAGTGTTTTGATTATGCTTTCATCATTGTCCTTACCATTTCGCAGGCATACACAGATGTTTTTGAATGAATAACCTTCTTACTCACTGAATTTTCACTCATTCAAAAAGTATTTATTGAGTGCAGGAGCACACACACATATGCAAAGCTAAGCTGGATGTTATTTTAAATAACAAGGAAGGATTTTCGGTAGAAGCAGGATGCCTACTCCTACACTGTATAAAGAACTGCAGAGCAGTGGCTTACTTAGGGAAGCAGCATCTTGCCCAAAGTAGGTGGTCAACAAAGAGTTGTTGACTCAAAAATCATACAAGATGTTATCTAGCCAACTTTGCTTTCATCCTAAATTCCACCATTATTCTTAACCCACCACATCATTTAGATATGACTCAACTTCAGAGAATTGATGCTGACTTTAATCTTCTTGCTCTTTGTCTGAATACTTTGGAGAAATAGAACTACCCATGCACTGCTCTAGCTTTCTGTATATGATTTCTGTGGAGCCGTGCCAGATCTGTATATGTCATTAGTATTCATTTGTGAGTAAATGCAAATGTTCCTGTTGCATTGAAAAAGTGAACTCGAATTCATAGAACACAGCAAGTATTTTGCTCCTTTTCTCCTCTCTTTGTTTTTATAGTCTCCAAAACAGTAACAGCTCTTAAAAATGCGATGATATGTCATAGAGCAGGTTAATTTAAAAAAAAAAAAAAAAGGTTAAGATTGTTTAGAGAAAGGAAAACAGCTTATGGAAATTTTAGTTGAGGAGAATTTTCTTTGGCTCTCTTGACATGTCTGGCAGGATGGTCTTTTATTTTAGGGACGTTCATTCATGAATGAAATAACTCTCAAGATAACTTCCTAGTAAGGGGAGCTGGCAGAGGAGGGAATGCTTACTAAAAATGATGCCAACAACTCCGGGAATAGAGTGTGAGCAGTACCACTAGGTTTGTGCCATTGAAATTATGTGAATCCTTGTATATTTTATTGGTCTTCATATGCATGGCTTTTTTGGGATTTCTTTGTAGTACTTTATTCGAATATTTTCATATTTTGCAGTTAGTGCAGTTAAGTGAGGAGTTATTGTTTGGTAATGGAATTATAGTTTGTTTTCAGAAAAGGTAAGTAGTTTGAAAGAAGAGAACAAGTTGAGTTCAAAGACTAATTATGCAAACCCCAGATTTATCTTCTTTCAGAGTTTATCCTTTTTCGGTAGGGAGGGGGACTTCAAAACTCGTTAAACTCTGTTTATGACCTAAATTGCTACTATTTAGAAAAACCTTACATTTTACTTTTTCTGCAAATTTAACATGAATTCTTTGAAACCAGCACAAGTGTAACTTTTTCCTCTCCAGAATCTACTTTAATTGTTGATAAATTATGCTCACTCTAGAATCAGTATTTGTTTCTGAGAGTCGTGATGTTATCCTAACCTTTACAGCAGAAGTACAATTAAAGCAAGTTATTTATAACTGCATTTAAAAATCACTGATCTAAGTCAAAAACATTTCAGAGCAGCTAACACTTAACAAAAGTAGAAGCAAAAGGTTATATCTGGAGATCCACATTTAAGGTATAGGCAGGATAAATGGACCTCTATAGATCACCTATGCAAGTTCCATTATCATGTCTTAGTTAACATTTGGTACAATGGATTATTTTTCATTTTCTTGAAAAGTTTTATGAAAGAAAACTATGTCAGTTTAAGAAATGGTTGAAGAGTTGGTTTGCTTTTAGCCCACTTTACCTGGATTGTGCATGGGAGGTGGGGAAGTTTTATATGTGAACACATATGCTTTTAGATACATATATGCATATATACTCATATGTATACATACAGAGTTTATCTTTATATATTGATTTATGTTTCTGTATATTTCTGTGCTTTGTCTAATAACTTTAAATAATAGGAAGAGAACCTCCTTTGTGGCATATATAGTTTGTGAAGTCAGCATCATCTTGAGAATGGTATACAAATGCTCAGATACTTTGATGTTAAAAATTGGAGTGTATTCAGCATTTTTGAACAATTTGTTCAAGAAGCTCTCATCATAACATTTAATATGTGCCCGTCACTGTCCAAAGAATTCTCCTAGTATTAACTCGATTCCAGTAGCCAGCCTGTTCTCCCCAGTTTTACAGAAGGAAACTAAGTAGGTAAAGTGGGTCTGATCCTCATCCCCATTGAGAAGGTGAGGGAAGTGGGGTGCTGTGGGCCTCAAGAAATGCCTCCAGCCCCACAGCTCCTAAAGGGCCGAGGCGGCATTCAAGGCCAGGCTGTCCACTATGCTTTGCCATTGCTCTTGAACAGATATTTTTTAAAGTAAGGGGCCGAGTGGGGAGCAAGTGAAGCGGTAAAACAAATACATTCTAGTGGCTGAGATTTATGACAATTATCAACTTTGAGTGAATTCTTAAGGAGTTCATGAGGAAGGCAGTTGTCATGAAGCACCCACATAACCTGAGCTAGAGCATTAACAGAGCAGGGATATAACTTAATGTAGTTTTTAATGGACTCAATAATTTTAAATTAGGTTCAGCTCCTTTTAAATTAGATAAGTTAAGAACTGGTGCCATATTTAAGTAGTTTTAATAGCTCAGAGGATCTGGTACTGAATGTTTTATGCTTCCCATAATATCCTTATAATGTGAACTTCTTGTGTAGAGGTCAATGGTATGTGTTACTATATGGTACTTGCCAAAGGAATCAGAGTTTTTTATGAAGGTGTGAAATGAGACTTAATCTGTTCTGATGTACAGGACATACAAGTAGGCATCCAATTAATGTTTACCGCATGAATTGATACAGGGTATTCTACAAGTTGCTAGTCCAGAAGTTAAAAAAAAAAAAAAAAAGTCTGTATATTGCATTGTTGCAAGACTGTGATTTAATATTGAATAGACTTTTTCCTTTGTCATGATCTCAGGACATTACTGTCTATGAAATCCTGTGGAATAATAATCTTTATGAGACTGAATGGCCTGAGATAG